CCTGCTCTCACCTGTATCCGTTTCAGCATCCACATAACTGCCTGCACAGAAGGCAGGGGCTTGAGAGCCGGTGTGGCGCAGTGGTTAAGAGTATCAGGCTGTCTTCCAGGAGACTTGGGTTTGAATCCCCCCTCGTGCTGTGGAAGCTGACCAGGTGGCCTTGGGTCAGTCCCACTTTCTCCACCTAGCCTACCTCACAGGGCTGTTGGGAAGATAAGATGAAGGAGAGGAGAACGACGAAAGGTGGCTAGAAACGAAGCAAGTACAATGAAAATAAAGAACTGGCCTCCTCTGCCGGCTTGCACAATGACACTCCCCGAACCCGCCTCTCTTGGTGGGTTTTGGTTTCCTAGGCCGATGGAAGGGCCGTGTTGGCCTGGCCTCCCCCACCCTTTGTTGCTGCCTCCCTGCCTCCAAAGCACCTCAGCAAGCCCTGGCGTCTTTAGCGGGGCCCCGGAAGGTCCCTGTGCCGAGCCCCTGCTGCTTTCCTCATTTAACCCCCTGCTTGCCTTAGCAGAATCGGAGACGCCGCTGGCCGACATCGCCGTGGACCTCCTCCGCTTGGTCATGGTCGATCACTGGAGCTGGCTGTGCACCGAGAACATGCAGAAGGTCCTGCACTTGCTCTTTGGGACCCTGATCCAGAGGTAAGGCCACGTTGTCGGGCTGTAAGAAGAGGACTAGAGCTTGGGCGAAGGAGGAACTGACGGCCCCTGGGTGGCTTTTGCTTTTAGAGGAGCCCAGTTTACCTGCGGATCTCCATCCCGAAGGGATCGTGCTTTCGTGACCCGGTGAGAACGAATGGCTAATGGTGTTTGCGTATCCGAGGGGCAAGCCCAAGAAATTCCACCTACCTAACCAGTGCTCCCTCTAAGCTGTGGAGTCCTGTGAGCAAAAATTCTACTAGGCGAGCGATTTGGCTGCTGCATCAATCAGTTTGCTCTGGAGCCATCCCTTCCTGAACTAAGACACAAATGTGTGAGCTGGAGGCTAAAAAACCGTGTGCTAGCTCACACTAACTCAGCTGGAGGGAACACTATGCCTAACTCCTGTCCAGCTTTGATGCCTGTCCAAAAAGAGCCATGTTAGGCCTCTTTGTATCTTGCATGACGTTTCAGAGATGAGTTTGTAGGCGGGCCCTGAGGCTCTTCCCGTGCTGCAGTGGCCACCTCTGTATTTTCCTGCAGCTCCCTTAGGATTAAACGACATGCTGAGGATCCATCATTGGGTCCCTGGCATGTAATTTAGCTTCAGAAAGCAGCCCTGGGGTGTTTAGATCAGGCTGTTGCACAGGGCAGTCGTGTTCACTCCCCCCCCCCCCAATATGGCCCTCTACTTTTAGCCCTGGTAAGGGGGGAAAAGACAGGCACTGTGCCTGTCTTTTTCTCTACCTGGCTTAAAGCAGTGTTGGGAAAAGGGGAACAGTTGCAGTTGGTGAAGGAGCACCAGGACAAAGCTTTCCCCAACGTCATGGCTTGCTTCACCCCTCCTCCAGTGGCTGCAAAAAAACGGGGG